CTACTGTTACTCATTTTATATTAAGATTCGAAAATCTAGTTGGTATTGGTATGCCGAGTAGCCTTCAATAATAGTAGCCTAATAAATCACACAGCAATAGTACATTCACGTAGTTGTATAAAAGCATGATAATAAATTACATAATCCAAAGTATTCAGAATATGTTACTTTTATTGAGTAACGTAACGGAATATGTTACAAAATACATTTTGGGACATGTAATCTGTAATGGAATACATTTTAAAAGTAACCTTCCCAACACTGAATATAGGCATGAGGATACGAAATGCAAAAAGAATGCTGGATATGCCATAAATTGGCCAAAACACTGGTGGTGGTGTGACTTGTGCATGAGCAGAAAACAACAAAGATTTCATTGTACACTGGGCAAGGATTCATTTCAAAGTGACGAAACTACATGAGTGATGTCGCAAACAACCAAGCCTGTACTTGCACCTGGAATCTTTCATCCAGTTCCAAGTACTAGTGCGGTCTCAAAGTTTGTTACTTTGATACGGAACCAGCATGCGTTTACTGCTACTAAACTTAATATATACAAACAAATTAAAAGTAATATTCAATATTATTTGATAACTATATGAAAATAATCAGCGTTTACATAAGAAATTCAGCTATTACTGATGTTACAGCGTGCAAACAACATACAGAAATCCCAGCTGGCGAATTTAAACCTAGGACGTGTATCAAACATATTGCAACATGAAATTGAAAGATTTTTTAAATTGTAACCATTTATAAATGTATACCATCAGGATCAGCTGAGTGCTTGAATGCCAGTCAACCAATTATTCATTATGCAATGATGTTATACAACCAGCAGTATTGGCATGTAACGTCACGGATGATTCTAGTCGTGTATGTATAGCAGTTTTTTCAGACTGATAGAAAATGTAATTTCTATATCAACTTTTGAGAGAAAGATCACAAAGTGCTTCACAACAAAATACCAGAGCATTAAAAAAAAGAAAAGAAAAAAATTTAAACACAGGAATAATCTCCTATAGATTGTCTTTTATCTCACCTGTCATGATCACGTTAGAGTTTTCTTAGTTGCTTTTTGGTTTAAGTATGCTTCCTGTCTGAGTTGTTCTTTTTTTTCCTTTGAATTTTCAGGTATTTCATGGTCCTGGGTTCTCTAACCCAATGTTTTTCATTTGTGGACTTTCTATATCTACTTATTATTCCTTCACGTCTTAGTTTGCTTTTTACATGTTATTCTTAAGTCTTTGTTTCATGACTTCTGTTGGATGAGTTTTATTACAACTTTTGTGGAGCAATTGGAGTTGAATTGGTTTTGCGATCTGCGATTACTTTTTAGTTTTCGATGAGCAGGAATTAAAGGCTTGCCATTTTTCTACACTTGTGTCATGTGTTCTGAATATTGGCTATACAGCTTCATGTATGAGACAATGGTGGAAGGCTGCCTCCCTGAGCCTGGTTCTGCTGGCGGCTTCCTCTTTTTAATAGGGAGTTTTTCCTTCCCACTGTTGCCAAGTGCTTGAATAAGAATTGTGTGATTGTAGGATCTTTACCTTACAATGAGAACCTATATAAATACTAGCTAAACTGAAAAAAAAGAAGAAGAAGAAAACAGTTTTCATTAAATACCAATGCTAGAAGTTCTATAATCTTGTATTTGTGTATCTTTCCAATTATATCTCTTGTTGTGACTGCCTATAAAATGTCTAACATTGTGTAATTTTTACGCATTTGAAAATGAGTGCGATTGTGTTACAAAACTCACTTCAGTGTGCTGAGTTAATGACCTCAACATCCTCCACTCCAGAGGATGTTGAGGTCCTCTGATAATATATTAGATAATATAAAAGCATAAGAGAAATCTTGCATAATCTACCATATCAGCATGTTCAAACATCTCATGACGTGTAAGAAAGAGCAGAAATGTTAGTGTGAATTTTTATGTCATGAATAGGACACATGTGGTCACATGCGTAAGTGTGGCACAAAGAAATCAAGGCATATAAAGAAGCAGATTCTTACCCTTGCCCATACTAACACTGGGAGATGTGAGGAACGTGGTGACATGAGTACCCTATATCAGTGCACAACAAACATATTTAAATAAGTGGTATGTGGGCATGCTAACACCAACACTTAAATACTGCAGAATGCATGCCCGAGATATAGATTTTACATAACGTTCACATGGCTTTAAATTCAGAATTAACAGTTAAAGGTACTTTAAATGTCAATTCTCTGTTCATTCTAACATTATAACACAAATCTACATCCCAGTAAACCATTTGTTTGTTACTACAGGTCCAACATGACTGTGAATGAAACCACTGACAGTAAACCCGGTGCCCTGCCACCACAAAGCAGGTTAAAAAAACAAAAAACAAAAAAACAAACAAACAAAAAAATCTACCATACAATGCTACAGGCCATACTGTACCTGAGCTTTTTAACATAGACTCTGGCACAGTGAAAAATTGTCCTGTAGTACGACTAGAATTCATAAGAATTTAGCGATTCTGATTCCATTATCAACTCTCATTGCCTCCACTTTGAGAGTCACCATCATCACTAAGCACCATATGGAAGACGAGTGGATGAGAAACGTTTGTGCATATTGATAGTATCAACACCAAGAGTGGAAATACTAAAAGTAATTGCGCCCAGAAGACAGTAATTTGTTACTTTTTACATTATATCAGCATTTTTCTGTAAAATTACATGGAACGCATAGTCTCATAATTACCATTTATCAATATAAATCTACTGACTACAGCCCCACACACCAACACATATCCCAATCCTAATAAGGACACACATATGATCTTTCTCAAAGCATTTACATGTGAACACAAAGCCAACAAAACAAAGCAAAGAAACTTCACAGTAATTTCCACAGTGATTCTACTTTAGTAACATGAACAGGTAGAAACAGGTACAGCTTGACTGCTCGTCACAGATGTTACCTGCTGAAGTTCAGGGTCTGGCTGCTGGGTGGGGTCAGGATTCACTCAGCTTTAAGTCACTCTGGGTTCTTGGTTAGCTTAGTGTTAGCATGCTGTCCTAGCAGGAGCTGGCAAAGAGCCGAAGTTGTGTTGGCAGGATAATGCAGTTACTGTTAGTGTAGTTTGCACTTTCCCCACTGTGCTCTTCTCCTTTGTGCAATAAAAATAAAAAATAATGTCCATATTCACACTTTTGCCCCCCATCTTCCTCTTCAGTTCCACACGTACTGAAATCAGCTGATTGTAGCACAAGTGCAAGTCCAAAAATATTTTTAATTGTTTTCCCAAATCATAATTTGTTGGGTAAGGAAGCACTTTACTGCGAGCATCCATCTTCCATTTCATACTTCCATCTAGCAAAATGAAGTCCAGTGGCATGAATGCTACATAAGATTCATACATATGAATGGACTCATATTCATTATGTGATTCATGTATTACCTCCCACTAACTTTAGGAATTTTATTGAAGTAACACTATATTAGTATCATTCACCATTAGTAACAATCGGTTAAACAAATGCTAGTAAAATGTATTTAAAGAAATTACTCCAATGTAATTTTAAGAAATGTATATACTGCATGCAGAAAGCATGCACTGATTATAAACAATGGATGACTTTGGAAGAATCCATGAATTCTTCCAAGGTCCTGTGGCAAACATGATCATTTCACAAAATATCTGGCATAAAAACAGAAGGTGTGATAATAAATCACAATAACTTCAGCTCTGCCTTCAATACAGTTCAACCCCACAAACTGGTTAATAAACTAAGCAACTTAGGACTCAGCAGCTCACTGTGCAGCTGGATATTGGACTTCCTGAGCAACAGACCCCAGAACGTCAGAATGGGAGAGCACACCTCCCCCACCCTCATTCTGAATGTGGGTGTCCCACAGGGGTGTGTCCTCAGTCCCCTCTTATACTCACTTTTCACCCATGACTCTTCACCAATCCACACCAGTAACACCATTATAAAATTTGCTGATGACACCACCGTCATAGGACTGATCGACAACAATGACGATTCAGCCTACAGAGAGGAGGTTCAGCATCTGAAGCAATGGTGTGACGACAACAACCTGCATCTAAACACAGCCAAGACCAAGGAGATGGTAATCGACTTCAGAAGAACAAAGCGATCTGAGCACTCTACCCTCTACATTGATGGGGAGGAGGTAGAAAGGGTAGAAAGCTTTAAGTTCCTCGGAGTCCACATCTCGGCCGACCTTACCTGGTCCACAAACATTTCCCACCAGGTAGGGAAAGCACAACAAAGGCTGTACTTCCTCAGGAAACTACGTCAGGCCCAATTACCCCAAAGACTGCTCGTAAACATCTACTGCTCCACCATCGAGAGCCTTCTGACCCTGATTGGAGGATAACTGCACTGCCAACACTCATGGACATTACACCTTATTTGTAAATCGTATTTCTATTTATACTTCAATGCAACCAACACCCCTACCTCTTTAAACTATATTTATTATAACCTTAGCTAATATAGTTCCAACAGCACGCCCCCCACACACACACTCTCAATGTGCAATATCACTGATCACACTACACCTCTCAATGCACCTACTAGTTAGATGGCATGTATGTGTATGTATATAAATGTAAGCGTGTATGTGGAAATATATGTGTGTGTATGTACAGTGGGGCAAAAAAGTATTTAGTCAGCCACCGATTGTGCAAGTTCCCCCACTTAAAATGATGACAGAGGTCAGCAATTTGCACCAGAGGTACACTTCAACTGTGAGAGACAGAATGTGAAAAAAAAA